TTTTGGCGATGAATCTTCGAAGCAATTCTTGCCGAGCGACATTGCTGATTTGATTTCTGGTGCCCGAGCTCCATGGCGTGGATGCATCCTGAGCCTCTTCGCCAGGTCTGGGTGGAGTTTGGCGAAGATGAATGTGCCCACTGCACAAGTTCTCCTCCAATCTCTGGCCAATCAAATGGAGGAGTCTCTTCTGAAGTCGAACCACCGGAACGTCGGGCAAATCGCTGGGCAGGCGGAAAAAATACCAACAAGCATCAGCCAGCGGTACTTGGCCAGCGAAGTTCTTTCTGGAAGCACCCAGGCTCACGGCATTGACCCATCTGCACAGGAACATGCAAGAGCACACGATATATTATTATTGAACCCAGCTACGGATGCAGTTTCACCAAAATCTATGCACGAGGCACCAAGCGTCAATTCAAATTATTTGGCCCGTAGCCCTGGCCTTCGCTGCAAATCAGCCTTCACATCATCCGGGAACCTGTCAAAGAAGCCGCTCACATTGACCGTGCCGTCCTCGACGACCAAGTCGCAATCCGGCAACAGTTTCAGGCTCTTGGAAAAGTCAGCCAAAGCCAGGAGGCGACGAAGAAGGGAGACACAGGCCTTTTGCGTGCTTTCGCTGAGGCCTCGTACTTGGCCAAACATGGCCAAGATGAAGAGCAGGCCTGCAGCCGTACAGCAGTCGTACTTCAAGCCCGGGATCTGGGTAGCTTCTTGCTCGCCACGGTACGAATCTGGGCGAAACAGATGCCGGGCCGAAAGGTTCCAGCGTTGCTGGCATTCTTTCAACAGTCCCGACCGGGACTGTTTTCCCCACCAAGCAAAATATGTCGAGGATACTTGAAGTATGGACCAGATGTCTCGAACACAGAACAGAAACTCATATCCGTCGCAATGGTGTCCATCAAATGGAGTGAACTGGTGAGGGCAGCAAACAAACTAGCGTCTGCTGCTTTCGAAGCATTTACTGAGAAACAAGAAATTCAATTCAAGAAGTTCAAGGTGAGAAATGAAGGGTCATGCCCGGCCTTCAGCAAAGACAGGGTGTCTGGCTCCAGTCTGAGAAAGAGCATGGTGAAGGGGGCAACAGTGGAGACGGCTGTGTTGTCCGCGATTTTGTCCATCGCCTGCTGGAAGGGGCTGGGATCCATCTCGTTCGTTTCAGGATCCGGCGGTATGGGGAAGTCGCAGGACTGTCTGACGGCTTGAAGACATTCAGAGAGCATGCCAGAATCCAGCACATGGCCGTTCAGAGACTGCAGAGGCTTCTGCATCCGAGCAGCTTTGTTCAATAATGCCAGGAATGTAGAAAATCCAGCTTGGTCCTCACATTTTTCTCGCAGCTTGGCTGTGACCCTCTCTATCACCACTTCCCTGCTCGGCTGAGCATGCATCGCTCGCAAGCCACCACTTTCAGCCCGACGTCTTGCTGTGCATGCTCAGATGCACACGGTCATGGCCCTGTCTGATTCATGGCCCTGACTGGAACTCGTCCACTTCCTAAAGCTCGCTCTGCAGACCCACGGCTACTTCCTAGACCGCATAAGAACCCAAGGAAGTGGTGACAGTGTCAGCTCGGCATGTCGTTTACGAACTTTCATTGATTCAGGACGTTATTCCTGCGATAGCTGTTGGCATCCACATGAAGGTCCCTCCGGCCCGCCATGTAACGTGATTAGAAGCCATGCAGAAGTTCTGATTACCACAGCAAACACTCACCTGGTCCGAGCATGTCCAGCTGCACATCATGGGATACGGATGATGCTTTCGTGCTTGCTTGCATCACCCAGACTACAGAACTGGCTCCGTCCATTGTGCATCACAAGAAGAAACCCGAAAAAATGAATCGCCCGGAGCCTCCACGGTGGCTGTGGACAACCTGCAGTAAGAGGCCGGCCACTATTGAATTTTACAGTAGCGGGAACATTGTTCACATTGATTAGATCACCTAATCTTTCTGGTTTTCATGGCATTAATAATTGTGACAAAGGAGCATCTCCAATTCTCTCACTGAGACAGGCACGAAACAAGGAATACGGAGTCAAGGTCAGCCCGAGCGGAACGAAGGCCTTTGTTGCCAGCATTGCAAGGGTCGGCTCCACTTCATTCCAGTGTAGGAACATCAGCAAGCGATAGAACGGCAGAAGACAACAGTTTTGACAGTCTGTCCCGTGGCACACGAGCATGCACTCACTTAGGCCTGGAATCCAGACCTGAAATGCCTCCCCGAAACCGAAATCTTGGATTGAGACCCTGCACCCAAAACTAAAAGCGTAGAGCTCTGTGGGCGACGGCTGTCAGCGAACTCGGCCAATAGCAGAACTGGCAGACCTCGATCCAGGGCAAAGACCCCAATTCAGCTCATCACCCGTTAAGGCCACAAGGGCCCCGTGGCTTTCTATGCTTGTCTGAGCATTCACAAACAGAAGAGCCTGGGGTGTCTGCACATCAAGCCGGATGAAAGGCAGCGAAGCCTGACCACAGCAACAGCCCAGCGTTCTTGCAAGCTCACCGTAAAGGCCCATAACACCGTGACTGCACCGATTCTGAGCATGCCCAAACACCCAAATCCACGGCTCTCGCATCCACCGAACCCTGCCCAACCAGAACCCCGGACAGACCTACCATGCCCTTTCCAGCAAAGCTCTTCTGCCAAGCCGAGGATCAGTTGTAGAATCAGAGAGCGGATCCACTTCATGTCATGTATACTACACGAAGCAAACTGTTGAACAGAACCCGTGCGTCCGGCCTTTGAGGAAACACCGTGCACCGAAGCCAGCAGCCTCCAGTTGTTAGTACCATAATAGCAGAAAAGAAACTACACTGTATTTCTGGTCTCACCCTGTCTCACTCGGAAGCACACATCCGAATCTACGTAGAAGACCGCAGACACACGAAGGCATTCCGATCCAGGCCGGCGGCCCAAAAACCAGATGGAGCGGAGGTCGACCTCGCAAGGTTTCTGGGGCTCGATGACAAAACTCACAGGATACTGTCGTTGCAGCATGCACCAAGACCACAACTCAGCTTCGACGTCCAGTAAACCTCCGAAGCTCAACTTAAGCTAAAGTTTAAAGGTGACTCGGCAGAGTCGCGGAATCGGAGAGCAGGGTCCACTGCATGTCATGTTCCCATACGAAGGGAAATTTCCTGAATAT